CCTGCTGAAATGAAAGATTTGTTGTTAGAAAGAAGGCAACACTTGATTTAATACAGTAATTAAGCAATAACCAAGCAGACAATAAATACCTTAAAAATATTGTTTTTTTATTAGCACAATCAAGGCTTTATCCAGCAAACTTAGTCTCAAATGTAAATGAAAGAAATAATAAAACTAGTTGCCATGTAGATATTTACATAAACACTTCTTAAAATGCTTTATGTGTGTTGTTAGTGACTCTGAGTAAAATGGCACAGTTGCAAAACCACGTAGCATGACACATAGAACAGATAGAGTATCATTCACTGCTTCCTCTGGTACCAAGAAGCTGCCTTAGTTCTAGTGATTATTTTTTTTTCTTTGAACCAAAAGGAAACCACGTAGAAAAGAGGGGAAATCTGTACAATCCATCTTTCTGTCTGATGGAGAAAGATAATTAATTTTTCCAAATCCAGTCTATTATGAATCTTGGAGTTTTATTTCTTCTAGGGAGTGGGAGAAGGGATGAGTGGGGCTTTACTCTACAGCCATGAACAGCTAGGAGGAATGGAGGATGTCTTTGGCTGATCAGCATGCTTGCACTAGCAATGTTGTACTCGAGAAACATATTGTGTGCGCTCTTCTGCTGTCCTGTATAGTCAGACCACTTCTGCCAGCCTTTCAAGAAGATTTCTGGTTGTAGGAGTGAGCTGCTGGCTCAAAGAGTAGCTTGCAGTGCTTTGCAGCTTTGAGATCAAACTCTATTCTAGCAGTGGCATTGGTGCGGCACCTCTCAGATCAAGTCTTTCAGCACTGTTTATTAACACATCTTGTAGCAGTACAACACAATGTTCAATTTGTCATTCAGACAAGCATGGAATACAAATGAGTCGCTGTTCAATAGGAAACTTAATCAAATGCGCAAGCCAAACAGGTTGTGGTTGATGCATAATGTGGTTTTAACTGATAAAGAAGTACAGGCTGTCACTGTGTTCTGTAAGATTTTGACATGCCTCTGATCAGAGTACTTTGTGTTTGATCTTGCACTGGATCAGCAAATCCTGTTAGGGATTAGTATACAGGAGAACTAAAGTAAATTTTAAAAGGTTTATTTTTGGAGGTTGTGAAGTTTATTTAAAAATTAGAGGGGTGTTGTTTTGTGTATAACAAGTATTACATTGTTTTACATCCCCTGTTATCACAGCAAAAAGACAAGTGTACGTGGTATGATGCTAAGCAGGATACAAGATTGAACTAATTGTTATGTTGTGGATTTAACTAAAGGTTCCTTCAAGAGGTGTTAGTAATGGTGTGCAAGATGGGAAAGCAAGTCCAAGAAGGAGCTCCTCTTTCTTCATCAGTTTAATAGACATTAGAATAGTGGTTGAAGTCACAATGCAGGAAACTAGGTCACTTGTAGAGAGTCTCTTAGGACACTAAAAGGAATCATGGTCAGTTCTTGTGGGCAGGACATTATACCTTCTTCATAACTCTTCAAAAACTAGAATCAGTGGGAACAAAAAGTTGAAGATAGTTATCAAATTTTATGTCTCTGATTATCTGACGTACAGTAATTTCCACCTTGCATATATCCATGGTTAGATGTAGTAATTTGGGTTTCTGCCAATATTATCTCTTCCTGTAACAACTGTTCACCCTCCTTCTGTCTGTTCTGCACTATTTTATAGAGAGTAATTTTAATATTTCTCAGGTTTAATATTGTGTCGTGGTTTGGACCCAACACAACAACAAAGGAACAGCCACATGGCCACTCACTCAACTCCCCCCCCC